TTTCGTTTTTGATAACCGCCAGAATAGATTACCCGCAATGCATCACTGAGTGTTGACTTCAATGTTCACTTTTACATATCTAGAGAGAGAGAGAGAGGGGGGAGAGTGAGGAGGAATATGATAACTGTTTCCGCCCTAATGTGTTGCACTCTCTCTCGCACAAATTCCCTTGGGAAAGGAATGAACCTGTTTATTTACTCCAGAATTAGAGAGTAAATCGCATATACTGAGTTTTCCAGCCTTTGGTGGTAAACAATCTAGAAGAAGGAGTCTTATGCAACGGGAAAACCCTCTCAAGAAGTCATCGCAATTGACAGATAAAAGGAAAGTATGGAGACCCATGATCACCTACGTCCTGAAGTAATATGTCGTTAAAAAAGAAAGAGAGAAGAGAAAAATGAACATTTATCAGTGGGGACGATTTCGAATTTCAGCTGATTCACATGCGACACAGTTTTCGTTGAGAAACTCAGAACACTGATTCGGGCGTTGTTTCCTCTCCTTGGCAAATACAGTAGAATCCCTTATATCCGGAGTGCCTCATATCCGGAATCCCGGATATCCAGACATGATTTTGATTCGAAATTTCTGTTTTTCAGGAAATTTACTTTGGATAAATGCTTATGCTTATTTCACCCTAATGGCTTGTATTGGTGCAAAAGATGATGGGAATAAGTGGAAAAGAACAACTTTGGCGTTATCGCAAATAGTGGACATTTTAAACAGAGTAGACATTGGTGAAAGTTCATTGTAACTAATGGCAGAGTTCAACATAAGAAAATCAACATTGTATGACAGAAAATCTCCCAAAAACATGATTGTGGTGAAACCTGGAATGAAATTGAAAAAGCTATTGAAAAGGTTTTCAGTTTTATGGAAAGAAAGCCAGCATTCAGCTATGACGATTGCAATAATGCACGCAGAGTTCAAAAGTGTCTTTCGTTTAAAAAATTTCAAGAACAAAAGCAAAACGAAATGCGGAAAAAGTTGAGAATGACATTAGAAGAGAAAGAAACATTATGCAACAGTGATTAAAAAAATCCTCATTACATTATTTGTTTTGTATATGTGGAAAACGTAATATAATTAACATTACATAATTAATTATTTTTTCCTTAAAATCATTTTCGTTATATTTCACTCACCATCAGCTTATTTTGTTTACTAGAAAACACTGAAAATAAACGTTAAACCTGATTACAGTTCTTTTATTTTGAACTTTATATAACCCCTCATATCCGGACTTTCTAACCAATTCCTCATGACCGGAAGTCCTTCTTAGTTTGGTTGTGAGGCATTCTACTGTCTGTTATATCCTTATCCTAGTTATCATCATATCACAACTGAGTGAGCTCTCGTGCAAATCACTCTCCCAGAACGACGGTAAGTTGTTATTGACGTATGAATTTAAGAAAATATTCTGCATAAAGACCTTTCGTTCTCAATATTTCTTCTCCCAAACAGAATACAATTATGTATGCCAATCATATTGTCGTTGCATGTTTACACGGAAAATCAATGATTAGTGCAACAGGTCTTAAGATGTCCGAATATCTTCAGTGAAATAATTTTATTATTATTATGTAATATATTATTATTACATATATATTTTTGTTGTCAGAGATAAGATTTGATTTATTTATCTTTCATACCCAATTTATTATTACTTATGCTATTACAACTCAATATTACAGAAACAATTGCTATTAAAAAGCGATTAAAATAAGATTTCTTTATTTCCTTTTTACAAAATGAATATGTTTCTAAGACGCAAAAATAAAAATGTCAAACATACTCACACACATAAAAACAATATATATATATGTGTGTGTGTGTGTGTTTGTGCGTGTGTGTGTGTGTGTGTGTGTTATTAGTGTTGTTATTTCTCAGAACTTTTTTCTGCTAACTCGAAATAATTCTAAGAAGATTTCCTTTTGAAATTTCTAAAAGCAAGCGAGCATGTCCAATAAATGGACCGCTCCCATTACGGAAAGTTTTACGCCTCCCACTTAAGTGGCTTCAAGAAAACACAGCGAAACGATGTTAAATATTGTTTCATTAAATAAAATAAAAACAAAAAAATTCGTAAGAAAGGAAAGAAAAAAAATCTGACGTAAGGCGTTCAAAAATGGCGACAACGTTTACTATCAAATATATTCAGCGTCCTTCATTTTCATTGGTTCAGTTAAGAGGGAAGAGGAATAATGATTTTCGTGTAAGTAGTGACTCTCACCTGTCTATTTTTGTCATCTTTTCTTCTTTCGTAAGTTTTCTAGTTTTTTCCTATATGAAAATATTCTAACAGACAAAAAAGAGTAAAAACTCTTATTCCTGTTTTTGCATAATTGATACATACGTATAAATTATCGGGAATTACATACAATTCAAAACAAGAGAATGCTGAAAGGTTCTAAGGTTGACAAAGGAGTCCTTCGAAAGCATCAGAAATATCTTTATTTGATCAATTGGACAGATTCTGAAAATTTCCAGTTGGGATTTGCGCGTAATTGAATGTAACAACTAGTCTCACCAAGTTCTGATTTTGATATATATATATATATATATATATATATATATATATATATATATATATATATTATGAAATGGACAATTATTTATTATCCGACAATTATTTTAAGACATTTGTATGTTTATCCATTCTTTTTATAGATAGAAATATTTAAGTAAAGGCTCTGTTTTATAATAAACATTATTTATAACATTTACCGGCCTGAGTGTCCGAGAAATCTTCAGAGAAAATATTCGTCCTCCGACAGGAATCGAACCTTTATCCTATATGGAACCGTCATTTAACCTGACGTGCTCTTAACCGATGAAGTCACAGAGGAGCGTTCGATTTGCAAGGTCGAATTTACTGCCTTTAAACTTCAATCTTCCATGAATCTCTAACGTACATTCATATCTGTTCATGGCGTATCCAAATGTAAACAAATGACGTCACATATTATGAAATGGACAAAGTCCGACAATTATTTTAAGACATTTTTATGCTTATATATTATTTTTATAGATACAAATATTTAAGAAAATGCTCTGTTTTATAATAAACAGTATTTATCAGTTAGGAGCACGTCAGGCTAAATGACAGTTCCGTATAGGATACAGGTTCGAATCCTGTCGAAGGACGAATATTTTCTATGAAAATTTCTCGGACATTCAGGTCGATAAATGTTATTAGTACTGTTACAAGGCATTTACTTAAATATTTGTATCTATAAAAAGAATGTATAAACATAAAAATGTCTTAATATATATATATATATATATATATATATATATATATATATATATATATATATATATATATATATTAAATGAATCATTCATACAAAAAAGTAAGTTGGTAAAGTTAATGATATAAAATGGCGAAATCCTTTCGCAAACAAAATTTTCAAAAAAATTCAACCTTATCGTTGCGCTGCACGCTCCAAAAGTTTGTATCCGTTAACAATAAAACATTTAAAAAAAATCATATTTCAATTCGTATTTAATTTTTTCGTCTCAGATGCTACCTGGATTTACTAAAACCAAAAATAATTTCCATGCCTGAGGATGACTGATTGTACAGTTGAAAGTACTCGAGTAAAAAAAAAACACCTTATACAATTTATAATTATTCAGATCAAAGGTTCATAACATTCATCGAGTGATTTGTTGGTTAACGCAACTTTAAAATTATGTTTGCGAAAGAATTTCTCCATTTTATATCATTAACTTTACTAATCTACGTTTTCATTGTAATATAAATTGAATTGCACCACATATTTGATATATGTGTGTGCATGTAATGGTGCGTGTGTTCACTTCAGTTTTTCACTATATATATATATATATATATATATATATTTTATATATATTATTTCTAGAAGGTGTTTTTCCTGGTTACTCGGATCACATTTCCGAGCATAAAAAAATGGTTGGAAATGTTATCTGAGGAATCAGGAAAAAAAAGCACTTTCCTGGGGAAATAATATATATATATATAAGCATGGATAAACTGTGATGGATAAAATGTCGGCTAAATTACGCAAAATTGAAAATAACACTGACATCTCATTTTAATAGATATATTTATCGAAATTACACTAAAAAATCAGAGAAAATGTATTTTGTTTGGAAACAGTAAATTTTCGAATAAATTAAAAAAAAACTAATAAAGATTCAGTGTTAAAATTAAAATAAAGCTAACGTCTCATTTTAACAGATATATTGATCAAAATTACTTACAAACATCTTGAAATACTAAAGAGTAAATTTATTCAATAAAATCACGATTGACTTCTACCACGGCCTCCAGACGATTTCGGAATCTTCTGCAACTCTTCTGGACAGTCTCCTCGTTTAAGTTGATGAATGCTGTCATAATCCTTACCTTCCGTTCATCTTTGATGTTACAAGAAGGTTTGCTATTCCCTCTCTCACGTGTGACACACACCCTTCAAGTGGGTTGAAGTCTGGAGTGCTTGGTGGCCAGACGTAAGGTATAATGTGGTCGTAGAAATTGTCTAACAGCCATAACTGTGTTCTCCTGCTTGTGTGGCATGGTGCAGTGTCCTGTTGCCAGATATAGGGTCTTCCAGCAGGCACCCTCTTGACCCGCGGAAGTACTACCTGCTCAAGGCACTTCATACAGGCCTCTGTGTTGAGTCTGATGCCCTATTGGAAGATAAATGGAGGCATAACATGGTCATCACTAGTGACCACTCCAAACACCATGATGGTGTCAGCAAGTAAATCGTGTAAATATTGATGATGTTTTATTAATTTATGCACACAAATGCATATATGATCTGAACTTATATGATCTGATCATATATTCTGATCTCATATATAAACATTAACTGAATAAGAATATCTAAACATTAAAGATTTATGACATCTGATCTGATCTGTTATATAAACGATCGAACATGGCACGGATAATATTTTAAATAAAAACAAAAATACATTACGTTTCCCTGATACGATATTAAACTGTAATGAATAATGATGCCTTGTCAAACCGGACAATAATGATTCACTGTTAAAACGTAAAAATAATAATGATATCTTGTGAAACCGTAGTCAATAATGATGCAATCTTAAACCATAAAATAAAAAAATGATACTTTCTTAAACTGATCTTCCTCTTTTTTTGCAGCTGCCTTTATTCTCACTCTCTCTTTCTCTTTCTCGTGTGGCATCTCTTGTTCTTTCTCTCTTTCTCTCTCTCTCTCTCTTTCTCTCCTCTCTCTCTCTCTCTCTCACTCTCGTGTAGTATCTTCCATACTCTTTTTCTTTTCTGCAGATTCTCACTCTCGCTTTCTCTCTCATGTGGCATCTCCTGTTCTCTCTCTTCTCTCTCTCTCTCTCTCTCTCTCTCTCTCTCTCTCGTGTAACATGATCCATTCTCTTTCTCTTTTTGGCAGTTTCTTTTGTTCTCAGTCTCCCTTTCTTTCTCCTGTTCACTCTCTCTCTCTCTCTCCCTCTTGGAGCGTCTTTCATACACTTTCTCTTTTGAGAAGCTTCCTTTATTCTCACTCTCTCTTTCCCTCTCTCATGAGGCATCTTCTGTTCTCTCTCTCTCTCTCTCTCTCTCTCTCTCTTTGTCGTGTAGCATTTTTCATACTCTTTCTCTTTTTGGCAGTTTCCTTTCTTCTCAATCTCCTGTTTTTCATAAATGACCTTCATAAATTACTCTCCTGATGTCATCAGTTTTCAACTCAGTATCTATACCCATGGCACAATTATTTAGTCCTGTCTTAACTGTAAACCTGATCGGTCATATTGGGAACTGATCCAAAAAATGACCTTCAATCTGTCGTTGAATGGGACATAGAGTGGCTTGTTAATTTTAACGCCTCAAAAACGAAACTGCTCTCTTTTAATCATCTGTGAGATCTCTTTTTACCTTCTTATGGCTGATGCTAACCTCCTTACGCCTTCTAACGTTTGAAAGGAATGTGTATATTAAATCAATTGAACCAATTGTTGGTTCCCTGTATCGAGCTAGACAATTTTTCCCGCCAGAATCTTACCTTATGTATTTATAAGCCTATCATTCGCCCTGTCTTTGAATATTGCTGCACATCTGATCTGGGTATTCTGCTCTATATTTAGAGATTCTTGATAAAATCTAAAGAAGAATGTGTAATGTTATTGGTCATGATCTGGCATCTCGGTTTCAGTCACTTTCCCGCCGCCGTAACTTAGCTTCTCTGTGTCTTTTCTATAAATACTTTCAGCGTAATTATGATCAACTTTCCGCTATGGAACCTAAACTTTATGAATTTAAGCGCAGTACAAGATTGGTCATAAGGTCTCATCAAATTTACAGTTAAACTGGCGAGATGCAACCGTAAGTTCTATGCTAACAGTTTCTTCAATCACACTTCTGCCTTTTTGCTTCCCAGTCAACTTTGACCTTCAAAATTTTAAACGCAATATCCATGGATATCTTCTGTCTTTTTAATCCTTGTTTTATTTTATTGTTCTCTGTACATAATAGTAGTTTTTCTCATATTCTCTAATACTCAATCGTCCGCTTGCGTCTTACTGGCTTTATTGTTTTAGGCATAGTTGTCAGTAAAAGAAACAGACCAACATGAAAATTACAAGATATCAAAATCAAGAGAATACATTGGGATATCGAAAGATGAATTCCAAAATCTAAGCAAAGTATTAAGAAACAAGAAAATTCCGTTAGAAACAAAGAAAAGCGTGCTGAACTGCGATGTGATATCAATCCTTCTAAATTGCGGAGAGTCAATATCGCCAACGTCCTGAAGGGCCACGACACATAGAAGAACAATAAACTAGGAACAGAATAATCATGACTTCAAAGTATTTGAAAAAAAAATAGTCATAGAAAATATATATATATATATATATATAGAGAGAGAGAGAGAGAGGCAGACAGACAGACAGACAGACTGGATTTATTCTTTCTTTTAAGTAGATACACGTACCAACGAAAGTGTATATTCAAATATATTGATGAGAGCAGCTATCATTCTATTCGGGGTGTGCAAATAACAAACCGGCTATTCACTGAATGATCAGTCACTCGAGTTTTAAAAAAATAACAGTTGTGTACTTTTATACTTACCTGTTATACAGGTAGCAAAAGAAGAGGGACAGGTGCTATAATTACGGCAGCTATGAGATTTAGATAGATAGATACATAGAAAGATAGATAGTGCTTAATCGAAAAAAAATCTCCTTATTTTCCGCAAAGCATGAGATTGAGAGTGTGAGAGAGAGAGAGAGAAAGAGAGAGAGAGGGAGAGAGAAAGAGATTGAGAGAGAGAGAGAGAGAGAGAGAAAGAGAGTGAGAGAGTGAGAGATTGAGAGAGAGAGAGAGAGTCGAATAGACAGAATGAAATCGAGGAAAGAAAGAATAATTCCCTATTTATCAATATATTTGCACATATTGATAGTATAGATAATGATTGAGAAGATAGATAGATAGATAGATAGATAGATAGATAGATAATGATGTAGATAGATAGATAATGATGGAGAAGATAGATAGATAGATAGATAGATAGATAGATAGATAGATAGATAGATTGAGAAGATAATGATTGAGAAGATAGATAGATAGATAGATAGATAGATAGATAGATAGATAGATAGATAATGATGGAGAAGATAGATACATAATGATTGAGAAGATAGGTAGATAGATAATGATTGAGAAGATAGATAGATAGATAGATAGATAGATAGACAGATAGATAATGATTGAGTAGATAGATAGATAGATAGATAGATAGATAGATAGATAGATAGATAGATAGATAGATAATGATGTAGATAGATAGATAATGATGGAGAAGATAGATAGATAGATAGATAGATAGATAGATAGATAGATAGATAGATAGATAGATAGATAGATTGAGAAGATAATGATTGAGAAGATAGATAGATAGATAGATAGATAGATAGATAGGTAGATAGGTAGATAATGATGGAGAAGATAGATAGATAGATAGATAGATAGATAGATAGATAGATAGATAGATAGATAGATAGATAATGATTGAGAAGATAATGATTGAGAAGGGAGATAGATAATGATTGAGAACATAGATAGATAGATAAATAATGACTGAGAAGACATAGATAAAAACATGTTCAGATCGATAGGCTATAAGATCGACATGAACAAAGAAATAGTTCACACACATTTAGACTTATGCAAATTGTATCTATATATATATATATATATATATATATATATATATATATATATATATATATATATATAATCTTAATATTTATATTTTCTACAATGCTATAAATGGTAGATCGATAGATATGAATACATTATTTTAGATATCAAAGAAGGTTTGCAGATAGGCAGATAGATGGACAGATAGATGGATAGATGGATAGATCGCTGTCTTTGTGAGGCTGTGTAGTTGTGTGGGGTTTAAGAATGAACTGAACAACCCGGGAGCACATGACGGCACCCCGAGGTGAGTACTCACATTTTTGGCGGCAATCGGCAGACCGTTTCAAGTTCTTACGGCAGATCCCGGCATCGCATCTTGAAGACCTATTAGACATCAGATAATTGTCAATGCGCCCCATACAATGCTTGAAATTGCCATCAGTACAAGACTGACGGGAGAAGAAAAAAAAAACCGTGTGGGAGGACAAACAGGAGTAGATTCGGCGTATGCACACACACACGCGCGCACACACGCACACACACATATATATATATAGAGAGAGAGAGAGAGAGAGAGAGAGAGAGAGAGAGAGAGAGAGAATGTAAAAGGAAATAAACCCGAGAGAAAGACGGAGGTTTGAAATGGATTGGTGTTCGGGAAGAAGCTATAAGAAAGAAAGACTGAGTTGTCAGAGAAATAGGAAGACGAAAAGGGAATATCTTTGCGAAGAAGGGAAATTGGGAAGAGAGAACTGAGAGTAAATCGTTTAATAAGTATTTGTGTAAGAGATTAATTCTTTTTTTCTGGGGAAGTGCGGTATGGAATGCAGAGAGTGAGTGAGAGAAGAATGATGGGGTGTAGAAGGGTGAGGAAAACTGAAAGAAAGAAAGAAAGAAAGAAAGAAAGAAAGAAAGAAAGAAAGAAAGAAAAAGAAAGAAGAATGTGATGAGAAAAATAGAAGGAAGAAGACTGTGTTAAAAGAAAGAAAGAAAGAAAGAAAGAAAGAAAGAAAGAAAGAAAGAAAGAAGAAAAAGAAAGACGAGGTGAAGTAAAATATATTGTAGGAAGAGTAGGAAAAGAAAGAAATAATGAGGAAAAGAAATATACGATAAGGAAATAGAAGGAATAAGAAAATGGTAAAAGAAAGAAAGAAAAACGAAGAAAGAAAGACTAAGAGGAAAAAAATGAAGAAAGATCTAATAAAAGAAGATCGAAAAAAGAAAGAAAAGTTGAAGAAAAGAAAGTAACGAAGAAGAAGAAGAAGAAGAAGAAGAAGAAGATGAAGAAAAAAGGAAGATATAATGGCATTCAAAAAAAGCGTAAAGGAAGAATTAATATTCTGAATAATAAAGACAGAAAAATAAGAAAAAGAACAAAATAAAATTGAAAGAATTACCATAGAAAAGTTAGTTGAAAGCTGAAAGAAAGAAGGGAAAGATAATACTACTACTACTACTACTACTACTACTACTACTAATAATAATAATAATAAGAAGAAGAAGAAGAAGAAGAAGAAGAAAATATTTTTAAGGGTAGGAGTAAGAGGAACTTGTGAAACAGGATGGCTACTGTGTGAATGGGTTAGTGTGGGGAAACAGTTTTAGGGGTAAAGAACGAAACTCCTGCCACTTTATTATTTTCAGATAAAAACCTCTTCGCCAAGAATCGGCGTCGGTAACAACAAAAGCAACAGTCGACATTGATGTCCTTATTATCACTGACGACTTTACCGTCTGATAAAATGATCTTCCTAAGTATATAACTTAAAAAAAAATGGCGCGCGCGAACACACACACGCACGCGCATGCGCGCAAGCACATCTGCATTACAAACTTTAGCAAAGTTTGGCTTAGTTTACAAAGTTTAGACGAGTACAGTATAAGGCCAAATTATAGTAGAATGATTGTGTTTTGCCATTCTGGGACAAAAGTTAATAAAATCAGACAATTACGCAATGTGCAAGGTAAAGTTACATTTACAAAACATATCCAAAAGATATAGACTCTAGAGTCAATAGAGATTTTTGACAAAATCCAAAGAAGTATCTGCAATGTTATCGGTCCTGACCTGGTATCTTGGTTTTTGTCACTTTCCCACTGTCGTGACGTAGCTTCCCTTTGCCTTTTCTATAAAAAGTTTTCGTCGTAATTCTTGTAATTAGCTTTATGATTTTATCTTTGCTGCCTCGATTTGACAAATTTAAATGCAATAAATGTTTGGCAGTTTGGTCTCATCATTTCACCGTTAATATTGCTAGTAACAGTAAGTTCTACGTTAATAGTTTCTTCTCTTGCTTCTCTCTCTCATGGAAGTCTCTTCCAACTTCATGCTTCTCTGTCAACTACAAACTTTAAGAATTTAAATGAAATGTCAGTCGCCATCTTCTGTCTCTTTGCATTCTGTTCTATTATTGTATCCACCGTTTCTTTCGCTCAACCCCCCCCCTTGCATCTTAGTGGCATTATCGCCTTGCTTGTGGTTAAACGATAAAAAAGAATGATTGACACAATGTTCCATATATGTTTTTATATGTATATATTTATACCTTTATACACATATATTTATGATGAAATATAGTTTTAAGGTGCGCTATATTTATGGGATAGAGTGCTCAATGTCAGAGATAGAGCGTATGTAAAGTGAACATTGAAGTCAACATTCAGAGGCGACAGGCTGTTTCATGCTTCATTGAATTCAATGTTCACTTTTATATTTATATACATAGTATGTCATTCGCAGACAGTACTGTTTCGCTGTATCACAGCTCCTCAGTGCGTCTAGACATCTGAATACTTCAAGCCCGGATCAAAACCCAACCGATCAGCCAGACTTTTCACTACTAAGCTCTCTTCATTCGACAGGTTACTGTTTCTCTCTGACCCTCTTGCCTTCAATGTCATTGATAAATTCACCAATATATATTTATATGTCCAAAAATTACAACTAGTAGGTTTTATATATTTTGTGCCCAAGACAAGGCTCACGAGCCTCTCAGGGTAGAGGATAACAGAATGATATTGTTTTGTGGATATAAGAGGAGATAAGAATTGTAGATTATGAGGATATGTAAGACAGATAACAGTTTACACAAGACTTGAAAGGTTAAGATTTTAATGATATCTATATATCAAAGACATTTAAGATATTTATGACGAGCATTTTCGTGGGGGATTTAGTATCGGGTGCATAACTGATTATGTGAAATTAAAGTTACGATATCAGGAGTGGATGAAGTGAAGCTAAAGTTATACAAATTGTCACTTAGGAGGTTATTTCTGTTGAGGTGGTCAACAACTTTTTTAGCTGATTATAGACTCAAGGAGTTTGTTGATGACTGTACGTCGAAGATGACAATATATATACTTAAAACCTTTCATCCCATCTGTCTTTTCTTACCCGCGCATGCTATCTCTTATGTAGCGACCTTTTGCTTCATCTTCTATCCTTTCTTTTTGACATCTCTTCTGGTGACACCTTTCTATATTTTTAGCGTCATTGTATATTTAATTGAGCTTTGTGCAGTTTTAAGTAATTTTCTTTATTTCAGCGGTTCATGCCCGCAATTCAAGGTAGAAATATACATTCATTAAACATTTTGCGTTTTAATCAAGTTGCACAATAGAATTTCACAGTTTTCCCTCTTTGAATTTTCCGATGAAATATAATTACTAAAACCCTTCCGAGTTGCACGTCTGTAAAATACGAAAAGAAATTCCACGATTTTATCGTTAAATATTCGCGCTCAACAAATTTAACAAAATATTCTAACCATAAATAAGTATATAGGTCATTACTTAAAGAAGTAAGGGGATACAAATAAAAAGATTCCAAATTGATAATGTTTTTCATTTCAGTGAAGCAGACGTCATTAATAGCACACAATATATACATAATAATCAGCCACTGCCGCAGACATTGCTTCACGAATGCATTTCCCATGCGTATTCTTTATAACTTTCCGAACTTTTCCCATGACGTTTGCTAACCACTAAGCATCAATCAAGCAACCTTTTGCTCCATCTGTTATTATTTCTCCTTGCTTCTTTTTCTTACCTACCTTCATTTTTGTTACTAAATTATTTTTTCTCTTCCCTTGGTTTATTCTTATATTCATGATGTCTTCTATCCATCTTCTTAGAGTTAACCCTGGCTTTTCGCTTTCCATTAAAATTGGGTACTTCTAAGTTTGTAAGCGATTTTCTTATTTTCCCTGTTTAGTTCCCGTACATCATATATGCTTGTGTACATTCATTATACACTTAACGTTTTGTGAGTTGAGTTTACCAAATATATGTTGGGAGACCTTGGTAGTATCTGCAGGGATGCATATGATAAACATTTATAATAAACGTAAATGAAAAAAGATAGCTAAGGAGAAGTCAGAAAAGCATAAAGAAAGTTTTTATTTTCTAGAGAGGGGAACATTTTCACAAAGTATATAAACGTGCTGTGTGTGTATTTGCTCCTACCTTGAAAAGGAAAGTTAGTGTATATTACAAAAGCAGTCTTTACTCACAAGTCCGGCACGTCATGTTGCAGGAGACTGGGCCTACCTGAAATCTGTTCCCGGAATAATGTGGGCTTCACTGACCAGATTTAAAGTTAACATGCCAAGCGCGTTGTATACTAATTAAGAAATCGGAAGGAAAGTTAACCCAGGATAAGCATATTAGCAAGAACGTGTTGTTTCATACAAAAGCTTAAAGGCCACATTCGGTTTGGCTTCGTTTGTTCTGTTTTACGACATATCAACAGCTCAATGGGTTATTTAATGCCGGCAAAATATTTAATTCTATTGCTGATATTTTTTTTCAAAAAGTATTTCTGGTATTAAAATCTATTTTTGCACTTTCATAGCGTTTTGAACCCAATTTAGTTTTTTTTTTAACTATTTGCCTATTTAGCTGGGACCCTAACAGGTGCTACCACCCCGGGTCAGAATGGACCTAGGACTACCAGCAATTAAGACGTGGTTCCACGCTTTTCAAAACCTCCTGATCAGAGGCCTTGATGTTGGACGTAGTTTATCGTCTTACCGATGACGTGATTGTAGTTTATCGTTATACCCAGGACGAGCTACATTCGTTCTTTGCTTTGTGGAAGTGTGCAGTATCAAGCTATGGCCATTATATATCTGTGTGTATCTGATCCTATCCTACCACGTGTTCTCTAAAATTTTCAAAGTTTCATTTGATGGAATATTGCAAGTTTGCAGATGTCTCTTTTGGTAGAGTACACAGGTCTCAAAGGCGCACAGCAGAGTCGAGTTCACGACAGCTCGGTAGACCATGAGCTCAGTGGCTTGTATTACTGAAGACTATTTTCAATAGCTTCTCGTATACTGCGTGGATGGCCCTGATTCACTTATCGACATTTTTTTTTCCGCGGATGCATTTGATCTAATTTTCTAGTACGCTACCAAGGTATGGAAATTACTCAACATTCTCCAGGTCAAGTCCGTTGATGGTAATTTTGACTCTAGGACCTGCTTCAAGCGGGAACTTGGTTTTTGCCAGGTTGATGTTGAGTCTGTAGCGCATATACTCTCTGAAGAAGTTGTCCGCTGAGTCCTGGAAGTCTTCGAATTCATGATTCAGTGTACAGATGTCATCGGAGTAGTGGAGCTCTGTGAGCCGTGCATTCCTACCATACCATACGGCGGCTGCAGGCATGTCTTCAGATCCAGCATAGGACTCTTTTACACAGAGGAAATGTCTATGAGCACCCCAATACTCGGAAACGAGTTCTGCCAAGGACCATATATATATATATATATATATATATATATATATATATATAATATATATATATATATATGAAGCAATCCCTCTGCTTCGTTAAAGACGACTGATAAGGTACTGCAATTAAGCTTTTCATTTAATTTTTCTTGTGTTCGTACAAGTGTTTTCATTTCTGGAATTTTGGGGTTTTTGTAGAAGATATTTATGTTATTGCTTTTGTTTGTGTGTCCAGTATCCTTATTGTTTACTTTGGAAAGAAATAATCTAATCTGGTGGTCGATGAGGTAGTTCGTAAAACCATTCTTAACTAGTGTCTCTTTTGCAGTATTGAGTTCTTTAAGGAAAAGTAGACGAGAGGATGAATTCTCACGTTCTCTCTTTAGGAATTTTTTATCACTGCTATTTTATGTCCAAGTGGACAGTCACTATTAACATTAAGGTGGCAAGAGTTTATACTAGTGTTTTTTTTTTTAATACAATGGGGCGAGAAAATGTTTTTACTGTATTGAACGTCTAAAAATGGGAATTTTATTTTTTTTGATTTCGTTCCTAGGTAAAGTTAAGGCCAAAGTTTTTTAATAACATTAACTACGATCACGGTCACGATATGCTGACCGTGTTTAAAAAATAAATCATACTTATAAATGTAGATGTATTCACATAACCCATAACTTCAGATAAAAAAAAAATTATCCTTGATAATGGCTAAATGTATAGACGAAAGCGCTCGAAAATGCAGAAGATTTGGATAGTTTTTACACAATTTGTGCCCAGAAAAAAATACAAAGAACAAAATTGAGGATAAGCTTAATTACAGTACCTTGTTAGTCGTCTTTAACGGAACACACACACACACACGCACACATGCACACACACACACACACACACACACATATATATATATATATATATATATATATTACATTTGAATGATAACTCTAACATTTTTAGGCATTTAAAACAACATGCCTTGCCGAAAATCCTTGTTGAAAACACAACTATACTTAAACATGAAAACAATAAACAAAAACTAAAAATTCTTGAAGCTATATACATAAAACAGTTGAAACCTAACCTGAACAAAATAAACTACGAAATCTCCACAAATATTCTTAAATGCCTATAATTGGTAACAGAAGCCATTGGTTTATACCAACGGCTTCCCATACTTAATACTTCTCGAATTCACTCTCGCGTGGTCATGTGTGATGTCATGAGCTGCGACGCGATTTTCGCTTCCAGCGTCTTATATGCACGGATTTGTCGTTGCTTCTTGGAAATCTTCCATGTAAACAAAAACAGACTATCATCACTGTTTTGTCTGTGTATTGCTTAATATATTGAAATGTAATTGTCATCTTTAATAATGGCTTATGTAACCTGAAAGCTTAGATTGTATTAAAAAATATGTATCAATATTGTGATTTTCTTTCTTCGTTTAATGATAATGTTATTAAGCTTATCAGACGATATGAAAAGAATTTACATAAAATAAATAGACAACACTTGTCTATATTATTTAATGAAACATGCATCAATATATATATATATATATATATATATATATACAAATAAAGAAAAAGAACAGTCAAATTAATGATCCACAGTTCTTTAGCATTTATCTTTTTAAAAAAAGTGATCGACACAAAGTAGAGCATAATATTAAAGATGTTTAAATATTTCTTCATCACGGCACGGAAATTTCAGTTTCGCGATGAAAAATATTAAAAACATTATTTTAAATATATATATTATAATATTATATATATATATATATATATATATATATATATATATATATATATATATTCACCTCTCTAAAACTTCTCTCTGTTAAGGTTTAATCTCCACCTTCTCTCGTCTGTTACCCCTCTCTTTAGCTCTAACATTCGTCCCACACTCTCATACTAACACTCTCTAAATTCTATTTTTATTTCCGGAGTTGTTTTTTCTGTTTTCTTTTGGATTTGTTGGTCTGATGAATTGGATCGTATTTACGGTTCCAATGGAATAAATTATGACCATGGAATATTAGTGTATCTTTTATTATTTATATATATATATATATATATATATATATATATATATATATATATATATATATAACGATCTCTGCTGAAGCGTCTTCCGGTTGTTTTGTAACTACTAGTAAACTCTTTCTGTGAGAATGGTTTGCCAAAGTTTTTACTTATATATTCGTGGATACACTGTGGCATGTTTATTATGAAACATTTTGCCAGGTTAATCTTGTAATGCGACACAGCACAGGGAATTTTGAAATAATAACTTTCTTTATGATTTTCATAGCATCTCCTTGATCTCTGAAACCCAAGCGTCGACATTCCAAAGAGCGTCCTTTATTTAATGCAATGGCGAAGATGTTACTGCAAGTTTGGAATCCCCAAGACTCATCATCAAAGATCTTTCTGTGAACTATTCGAAGGAAAAAAACACGGCAGAGCGGAGGAGTGATGGGAAGTACATGTATTTCTCTTGGTATTTATTCGTCTCACACCGAGATGGGTTATGGCACAAGGCCGGTTTAATGTGCGCGTCGACATGGGCTAAGGCCACATATTGCAAAGTCTCTGCAACCAATGTCGAGCTGAGGTCGTAATTCCACCTATACTTCCTATTTATTGAAATGAGCGAGATACTGTATCACTGTTGGAATCTCTAGGACCAGTATTCTCTTGTCTATTTGTTTTTTGTGTTCTACACAAAGACAGAAACGAAATTGAGAGACAAAATGGAGTTTGCCAGCCCGAGGGCAGATACTACACTTTGATCCCAGCACGAATGCAGACTGCTTTTAAAAGAAAGGCCTTCTGCTCCGAGATTATTTGCTTTCTTTTGTTGAGCTTGTTGGCTCATAGATTTCGCATGTATACAGTGCATATCTCTGGGTTTTCATGACTCTCTTAAATTACAGAAGTTCCCCGGAAATCCCTCCATCTTTTTGGCTTGGTTTCTAGGGATTTCTTAGAAATCAATCTGTCTCAGTTCCCGTTCACATAACGTCACTCTCTTATTCCCACCCGGCATCCCTGTAAGAAAGGCGTCAATGTTTGATGTCCACTTGTATACTACAATTACCTCGCTACGTGCCATGTTTTCACACCAGATGGTCAGTAACAAAATCACCTTGAGTTATATAAAACCGTTTCAGCGAAAAATACAGGACACAGTGAACAGAGAAACGAGTCCTTTTTGCCCCTGTGATCAAGGAAACAGTCGAAAGAGGAAAATGTTTTGATTGAATATATCTACTCCTTGAAGTTTGACGCGCGTCAGCGACTTAAGACTTCTGGTGACAAAATAATATCATTGTAAAAAGCTAATAGAATGGTTTGCTTATAGCAGACGTAAATCAATTCATGGCATAAAAATAAATCGGTGTAGAATATTATTATTATTATTTACATTATTCGGACTCTTGCCCTCATCTTTATCACCATATTTATTACAACGTTTCAGCCGTTGTACGCTCCGGTTGGAATGTCGAACTGAACCCTTTATTTCCCTCACTGGGGCAGACTGTTCCAAGTGCCATGTTTAACGGATGTCAGTTATCAGTTATCTCCTGTTAATTTCCCTCTTCAAGTTCTCCATTGCCTTAACCGGGTATTGAACTCACACTCTTTGGGTCCTGTCACTGGATCTAACTAAAGCCTTTATCCACTGTGCCATGTGTCCTCAAGAAGGCCGGAGCGTACAAAGACCGAAACGTTGTAATAAATATGGTGACAAAGATGAGGACAATAGTCTGAATAATGTAAATAATGTACATAATACCTCATCTCAGAAATATAGATAGATACTGAAAGGCTGAAACGTTGTAATAAATATGGCGACAAAGATGAGGACAATTGTCTGAATAATGTAAATAATGTACATAATACCTCATCTCAGAAATATAGACAGATACTGAAAGGCCGAAACGTTGTAATAAATATGGTGACAAAGATGAGGACAATAGTCCGAATAATGTAAATAATGTACATAATAAAACATCTCAGAAATATAGACAGATTATTATTATTATTATTATTGTGTTTTACCTTAACTTTGTCTAGTACAAATTGCCTTAATTCTCAAATTGAGACTTCAAGAGAACAGGGCTTTTATTTTTACCCGAAGACGCAAACAGACGCAGGGCCATTCAAACAGAGAGAAAACTATGTTATTACGAAAAATACACGGAGAGAAATCTCCGCAAGATCTGAGAAGTATTATTTTATTTTGCTATTCAGATATTTTGAGGCTCCGAGCAATATTATACTCATATTTGTTTATTCCTTTTGCTATCCTTCCGAGACGCTCATTAATAACAATGTTGCCTTCAGAAGCCACATTATTATTATTATTATTATTAAAGTATATTTTTTTCAGATAGAATATTAATATCCATCAGTTAATGCATAAACAAAGAGTCACAACCTTAGCCTTAGGTATAATTTAATGTTCCTCTGTTCATCATTTATTGGATTATTTTTACCATTTCTAAGAGACTTCCTTTCTGCAACAGTTCCGCTGGACAATCATTGCCAATTTTTTATATGCATGTCTCCATTCTGTGTGTCAGCGTACTGAATGCATCAGTGCACCAATGACAACTGATTAGGACCTTGTTCAACTTCCAAAGACTTCTGAGTTCAAATTCCAGTGCGTTAAAATTGATTACTTTCTCTTTTTTCTTTAGTTCTATCCTTCGATCAAAAAGAAAAAAAAATGGATTAAGGATTAACCCTTCTTTTTCTATTTTATCTTCCAACAATATCTCTGGTTTGTTGTGTCTTATAAATATCGAAAAGAATTATTATTATTATTTTATTTCCTTTGATTTCTGCTGTGGACTCATTTCTTTCTGTGTCCCACCCAGAGACCTAAGGACACAAATGACATCGTGACATTTTACACTGAGCAATTAAAAAAACCAAAACAACACATATATTTTACATGGATAAAGCCCTAGTAAGTAAGATGTCGGCTGTACTTGTGAGAATAATTTTTTTGTATTTCTTTAAGGAATGGGCTTCGAGGAATTCCTTCAATGTGGATTTTGGAATATTTTCCAATCATTCCGAGGGCTCCAACTACAAAAGGGATTGTTGATGTTCCCATGTGCTACATTTTTGAGATTTCGATTACAAGGTCCTTGCATTTTGACAGCTTTTTGGATATCTTCAAAGATACATTGCAGTCTGCAGGGACTGCCATATCGATAAGGAGGCACCGTTTTTGTTTGTGGTCTTTAATGACAATATCTGGGCGGTTGGCTTTGATTGTTCTGTCAGTGTGTATTGTGTAGTCCCATACAATTGTAACAGGTCCTATCTCCGTAACCGGGTCTGGGTGGTGTTCATACCATTTTCTTTCAGTTTTCTTCCCGTAGAAGTTGCAGATTTTCCAGTGCAGATATTGGCCCACTCTGTCATGCTGGATTTTATATTCAGTGGGTGCCAATATCGTGCAACCTGATACAAGATGATCAATCGTTTCTGGATATTTATCACAGAATCTGCATTTTGGGCTGACACAATATTTTAGTATATGTGCTTGATAATTCCTAGTTAGCATTGGTCTTGTGCAGCAAGGATAAAACCTTCAGTTTCAGCTTTCAACGCTGCACTACGTAGCCACTGATGGGTACGGGTTTTGTCTACGTCAGCTTGTTTGGTACGGGCAGGGTATTAGCCATGAAGCGGTTTATCTTGCCATCGCTTCTGTATCTGGTCGGTTGCATTCGTCTTTGCTGTCTTTTTTAAGAGTTTTGCAGTTTCAGCCGGTGTAGTGTGCTGTAGTTGCATCTCTACGCCCATTTGAAACTCCATTTTGAATTTGTTGGCTTCTTTTATTACGGAGTAAAGACGCTTACTACTTTCATGTTCCTTGACGCATACCATCATCCAGTCTTCTGTAGTTTCCAAGTATCTTTGGAGGCCAATTGTTGTAGTTTTGTAGGACAGTTCTAGTTGAACTAATCCTCTGCCTCCTTCGGATCTGGGCACATACAGACGATCAACATCAGCTTTGGGATGATGCATGTGATAGCAAGTGAGAAGCTTTCTCGTTTTGGCGTCCATTCGCTTAATTTCAGCTATGGTCCAGTTAAGGACATTAAAGCTGTATTGCACCACAGGGAGAGTCAATGTGTTTATGGCTGAGATTCTTGAGTTTAGCTCAGTATTTAGTACCAGACGTACACGCCTGTAGTACTCTTTTCTTATTTTTTCCTTCATTTGGGGGTGTTGTATGCCATCTCCTTCGCTAATTCCTAGGTACTTATAAGCTTCATCATGCTCCAGTTCCCTAATCTTTGTGACAAAATCTAAATCTATTAAGGGTGTTTCTGTAAACCTTTCTTGAATGTTACTTTTGCACATTTATCTAATCCGAAGTCCATACCTATGTCGTCACTGAAGTATTTTACAATATTGAGGAGGCCTTCCAACTCATTGTCGTCTTTGGCAAAGATTTTATTATTATTATTATTATTGTTATTATTATTATTATTATTATTATTATTATAAAGGGTGTCCATAAAGTTCGTGTGCACTTTAAAAAAATTATAACTTTATTTGTATTTGCGATAGAAATAATCTGTATAAAATGTTATAAACTTTAATGTACCTAGTTTTAAGTATAGCTAAAATAACTCATGTGATTTCCGGCATTACTGTAAATCAGTTGGCAAATGTTTTCCGTGAACTGCAAAATCGCATTACACTTTGTATTGCTAATGATGGAGGACATGTGGAAACTTTAATGAAATTTCAATAAAACCTTAAAAAATATAAATTTACTTCTTTCTAATCCTTTTTACAAATTATTTCTATCGCAAATACAAATAAAGTTATAAATTTTTTAAAGTGCATACGAACTTTATGGATACCCTGTATTAGTGTCAACGAGAAAGACAAGTTTTGAATCAGGAAATAATGTCGTTATTTGACCTTAAAAAATACATCAAAAAACGACATTATTACGTCAATATTTTTGCACCAATCTAATAGATAAAATGCCATTCAATCTGAAAGAAAAACACGTAATTGTTGTCAAACTTTGCAAGTAGTGCAAAGTATCCATGATTTTTTTTTTCAATTTACATATGTTAGGGATACCAGCAATTCGAATCCTATCTTTCATTTATTTTGATATCTTTCATTTATTTTGATATCATTCTCAGAGCAAATAATGTTGTTGTCTTAAGAGGCCACATTCTACTAATTTTCGATCTCGAGTTATTTGTATTATTATATTTGCGTGAGAGAATGCAACATGCTAACAAAATGACACTGTGTCGCGTCCCATTCTCATCGTCCAAGCATTAGTGTGTACAGATTTGGTGTTTGCTCGCAACCAACTCCTTGATTGTATGCCCATATGACTCAAATAGAGTAGCGGGTAGAGGGCCTAAATGGAAAATGTGAGGAGGGAAGATATTTTAAATATCTAAAAACAAACAAAACATTTTTATTTCGCACTTTATTAAAAAAAAATAATAATAATTTAATTCTTTGATTGGATACCCTCCCCGCTATATAAATGCCCGGGGTCATCGTACCATCTATTCCTTTCAGGCACGCTGCTGCTTCCAAGTGATGAAACCTACTTATTAAATGTCCGAAATGCTGTCACTCACTCTGGATCCGAACAACTAACCAGATATACCGGATCGGATGACGGGGTATGTGGGCTTGTAAACCTAAAAATATCCCAGCCAAAAGGTTATTTCTTTTTCATAATTGATTTAGATTTTTAATTTACCCAATACAAAAGTCTCAAGGGCTATTCTTGATAGAAAGTTACGGAGCGAAATTACTGCCAGGGAACTGAGAACAGGGTAGTAAGTTATGCACGTAATGTGGTCGTGTAGGGTACTATGAATTTGAAGA